CAGTCCGAGCGAACCCGCTGCCAGACGTAAGAGAACTGGACTGAAAGTGTGGAATAACTCATACGTCACTCTAGCCCTAAAACGCTATGCTTAGAATCCTGAAGTGAAAATAAATAGATCAACAACAGAGGCCATTTTGATGAACGGATTAGGGAGTGAAAAGTCGAATTAAGGGTAAGGGAGAGACAGAGGGAGGAGATGGACACGAAGGTAAGTGAAGGGAAGGGAAGGGAGTAAAGTTGACTTCCCAGGTATTCTTAAGCATGGCGACAGCATGGTATTTCTTGTATTACAATAAAGAAATTTTGAACAGTGACTTAAAAAACGAAATGATAAAAAAGGTAATAATAAAGTATCTGACTCCAGTCTCTGAATCACAATAGACGAGTCTTATGGATTTTTTTTAATTATGTTTTTTTTTCTATATTTCTTCAACAATGAATGCTCGATTTACCTCTGTTACCCTACGTTGATGCTTGTGTTCTATTGTTTGTTGTTGTTATATATATATAGATAGATTTTTTTAGTTCTGAAATAAAGATTGTGATAATTTTCTCTCTCAGGGAGAGATTAAGACTTCAAATGAATTCAACTTTTTAGAAATAGACATGTAAAATAAAACTAAAAAAAATAAAACATACCAGTGACTCTTTATTAGTTTAAATGAAACAGTTTTAAACATATTTACTTAACATGTTCCAGCCGCAGAAAAAAATCCATATCTTTTAGTTCAGATAAGTGTTCACTCGTGTTCATACTCATGATTTAGAATGATTAATTTTGTTTGTCATGTTATTGCAATGTTTAAAGTGTGTTGCCATGTTTTGCAGAATAAAATACTTGTCTTTGTTATAGAGACACAGACTTACAAATTTGATATATTTATAAAAGATGTTTTTTGTGACTACTCTTTTTCTCCGACTTAATTATATCCATTGTTGAATTAAACAGACAAACAAACAAATGAGTACATACACGCATAAATACGCGTGTATATATAAACATTTACTCAATTACGCACACATATAAACACACTCACATACATACACGCACACACACACACACACACACACACACACACTCACTCACTCACTCACGCACAAGCACGCACACACACACTCACTCACTCACGCACAAGCACAAGCACGCACACACACACGCAAACACTCACACTCACAAACACTCACACATACACATACAAACAAACACACCAGACATACCCCTCCACGAACGTACATACGGGACGTAAATCTGTATTTAAACATGTATAAAAATGTGTACGAAAATCTGTATAAAAATCAGTAAAAAAAATCTGTATAAAATCAGTATACAAATCTGTATTAAAAATCTGTATGAAAATCAGTATAAAAATGTGTATTAAAGATGTGTATTAAAATCTGTACGGAAATCTGTATTAAAAATCTGTATGGAAATCTGTATTAAAAATCTGTATGGAAATGTATGTATTCTCTCTGTATGGAAATCTGTATTAAAAATCTGTATGGAAATCTGTATAAATCTGTCATTTCTTCTTTTCCCTTTCAGTCGAGGACATGATCCGGGAAGTAGACATCGACGGAGATGGACGCATCGACTTCGAGGGTGAGTGGAAGGAAAGAAAGGGAATGGGAGGGAAGGAAGAGAAAGAAGGAGAATGGAGGGAAGGAAAAGAGAGAGGGCGGTAGAGAAAGAGAGAGAGGGGGGGGGAGGGAGAGACAGACAGAAGAGAGTAGACAGAAAGTGGGGAAAGAAACATATAGAGAGAGAGCGAATGGTAAGAGAGAGAGAGAGAGAGAGACAGAGACAGAGACAGAGAGAGAGAGACAGACAGACAGACACAGAGAGACTGAGAGATAGCCAGATAGATTGACAGTGAAAAGGAGAGAGAGAGAGATAGGATAGAGGAGAAAGGAGACTGAGAATAGATTGGTAGGGAACAGAGAGAGAGAGAGAGAAAGACTGGTTGACTGACTGAGACACACAGACAGATAGATGAATAGAATAATAGGGAAATAGATAGAGAGAGAAAAGAGAGAAAGAGAGAGGGGGGAGAGAGAGAGAAGAGAGAGAAAGAAAGAAGAAAGAGAGAGAAAGAAAAGAGAGAGAGAGAGAGAGAGAGAGAGAGAGAGAGAGAGAGAGAGAGAGAGAGAGAGAGAGAGAGAGAGAGAGAGAGACAGAGTAGAAAAATAGACTGATAGTGAAACAGAGAGAGAATAAGAACCTATTAAGCTCCTACATGAGGTACTGATGGGCATAGTGACACTTGCAAATGGCTTTACTCCTTATATCATAGAGTATGCACACAAATAGCTCAGAGCAAGCCACGTGGTTCCAGCTTGTACTCTAATAATAAAAAAACAAGCTTCCCACCATGACATCTACTTCCCCTAGCTTGGGTCACAGCCGGCTATACAAGGGCACCGTCGATGTGACCAAATCTCATTCACCCAGCCAGAGAGAGGCCAGAAGCAGATAGACAGGGAAGAGCCTCACCATGTTC